GGTTCTTCGTGCAGATGCCTCTGCCCTGTTTTCTCTGCCTAGTCTTGAAGATAAGGGAGACCTGAAGACAGAGAGGCCAGCGAACTTTTACTGATGCTTTGTGGAGACAGAAAACCATCAGAGGCTCACATCATTTTTTAAAAATTAATAAATCAAGACTTTTTTGTGACTCCTGGGATCACTCTATTTTTAAGTGAGGTAATAATATCATCACTATGTAGGAAATATCCTTATATTTTTAGACATATATTCTGAAATAGTTGGTGATGAAAAAACATGTTAGCTTATATATTTTAAAACATTTTCGCTAAAAAGTATTAGAAAAAATGCCAAAATGTGAATCACTGTTATTGTAAGTTTAAGGAGGTCCATTATACTCAATTCCTTCCTTAATATATTAATAGAAAATTCGTTGTTAAAAGATGAAAGGTGATTCCGTGTCTTTGCTATTGTGAATAGTACTGCAATGAACATACACATGCATATGTCTTTATGAGAGAAGAATTTATATTCCTTGGTAGACTGGATAAAGAAAATGTGGTACTTATACACCATGGAATATGATGCAGCCATAAAAAACGAGTGAGATCATGTTGTCTGTAGGCACATGGATGGAGCTGGAGGCCATTATCCTTAGCAAACTAGTGCAGGAACAAAAAAAACAAATATTGCATGTTCTCACTTACAAGTGGGAGCCAAATGGTGAGAACACCTGGACACAAAGAGGGGAACAACAGACACTGTGGCTTACCTGAAGGTGAAGGTGAAGGGTGGAAATAGGGAGAGGAGCAGAAAAAAATAGCTAATGGGTACTAGGCTTAATACCTGTGTGATGAAATAATCTGTACTATGAACTCCTGTGACACAAGTTTACCTATATAACAAACCTACACATGTACCCCTGAACCTAAAATGAAAGTTTAATTTTTAAAAAAGCATGAAAAAGAACACAGGTCAGCAATACTTAGATCACAGTTACTTCTTCTTTGTAAAAGTATTTTACTCCATGGGGGCGGGGGGGAGGGATAGCATTAGGAGATACACCTAATGTAAATGATGAGTTGATGGGTGCAGCACACCAACATGGCACATGTATACGTATGTAACAAACCTGCACATTGTGCACACGTACCCTAGAACTTAAAGTATAATTTTTAAAAAAAAGTATTTTACTGCATGTAAGCATTCCTGTATGTACCTTGTCATTCTGCAACACTCATTTGCTTTCAGAAAATGATTTGGTGCCCTAAGTTCTATGATAAGAAAACACTTTTGTTTTTAACAAATGCTGCCTTTTTTATATCTTAGTTCTTAGTCATCCAAGTTTTACCTACTCTCAGTGTTTTGGAAGATCAGTTTTTACCAGAAAAAAAAAAAATATTATTCCTTGATTGTTGACACATTTTTATTTTCTCTCATCTCTACCTCATTGCAAAAATATCTAATCTGTTTAACTGATTTATCTAATGTCTTGAACCCTAATATAAATGAACATAAGAAAATATAATATTTTATGTAAAATATGTAAGTTATTGATAGAGAAATGTGAAACTAATAGCATTATTTTGTGATTAAAAACATACATAGAAGAGTAGAAATTGTGCAGGCTGTTGAATTAGAAATAAAACTCATTTATATAGCAATATTTTAAAATAATGTCCACAATCATATCCATCCAAATGCCTAACTTCTCAATGTTGCATAGGTCAGTTTCCAGATATTAAAAAAATTTCACAATTGTTTTCCAGGGTTGAAATTACAAGTGAAAAATGACTAGGCCAAGTTAATTACATAAATTCCTGTATACACCTCCATGTATTTGGATTCATAATGTAAGTAATGCTTATGAGCATTAAACAAAATTGATAGACATTGCTTCTTCAATATGACTCAAAGTGAAAGCCATATTTTATTCTCTTACCCAGACTTCATCATATATATTTTTGGAAATATATTTTTAGAAAGGGAATAACAGAAATTTATTAGGGATAAGACCTCCAAAATGATTTAGAATTGTATTCATGAGATGCTTCTAAATTGGAGCTTTCATCACAGGTCTGAAGAAGAGGTGAGCCATTCAGCAGCAAATACCATTTACAGGTTGGACCAGCCTTGGTGACAGTAAGTTTGGTTGGGGATTAGATGTCATTGAAGCCTATGAGCTACATCTTGAAAAGAGGAGGAACTTGCCTGTAGTAAACTGATAACCTTAAATAGTTTATAGTTGAATGCAAAAAATTAAATATAATGAAAAAACTTAACATTTCAAAGGTTTTTATTTTCTATAAACATTCCCAAAATATGCGAAAACATCATGAAACTCTATTTTTTCCTCCACAGAGAAGGAAAACCTCTCCCACTACAGATAAAATAATTTCTAATTCACCATCCATTTCTCTGAAAAATTTTCTATAACATAAGTCAATTATATCCCAAACATTTTAACGTAAATATGAGTTTTCCTGGAGCGAAATAAGCAGTGGTTGTTTAAAAAGTAATACATGAAAATTCTAATGCATGCTTTTAAAATATTATCATAAGTGATCTTAAAAGCAAATAGACTGAAATTTTCCACCCATTTATATCCGTGCAAATATATCCTGGCCATAATAAGTACTTGAAGGTTTTTTTTTTCCATCTAATCTTTTTATTTCTATAAATACTTAAGGTTACAATTGGGAGATGAAATGAAATGAGCAAATCTTTATTCCAAACATGGATTATTGGACATTTCTAAGTAGTAAGTCCACTACACATTGCTGTAATTGATTATAATGGTGCTGCCCACAGTTAACACTCTGTCACCATTGCCATGCATCGAGAGGTTTATAACTCAGCTGTAAACATTTGCTCTATATTGAACTGCATATTGAATATTTCAGCCTTTGAGAAGTTGCTTTTGTGAAGTTGAAAAAAGAAAAGTCAAACTAGACTTTTCTGTTACAACATTATATTTGTAAAGTAACAAGTATTTTTGGAATAAAACATTTTTCAATTTCATGAGAACTTTTTAAAGCAAGATTTAGCTGTGACAATACTTCATCAGAAATAAAAAAAGATTTAAATTCAAAAATTACTTTTTTTTTTTTTTTAAAGACAGAGTCTTGCACTGTCGCACAGACTGGAGTGCAGTGAGGTGATCTTGGCTCACTGCAACCTGCACCTCCTGGGCCCCAGTGATCCTCCTGCCTCAGTCTTCCAAGTAGTTGGGATTACAGGCATGTGCCACCACATCTGGCTAATTTTTGTAGTTTTTTGTAAAGATGGGGTTTCTCCATGTTGGCCAGGCTGGTCTCCAACTCCTGGTCTCAAGTGATCCACCTGTCTCGGCCTCCCAAAGTGCTGGCATTATAGGTGTGAACCACTGTGCCCATCCAAAAATTACTTTGCTTTTTAATGGTCTCAGGACAGTTCTCTGTACCACTTTGGTACAGAGTATGAGCATCTATCATTTAAAGGCATGGTATACCTACAGCCACTTGAGACTTTCAGGTAACTTGTATTGAATTTGCTAAAATAACATTTCTTCTTAATTACATGTTGCCTGCCCATGCATATATTCATTTGACAAACATTTAACATCTAGTATATCTTCAACATTGGTGACTGATATGGTTTGGCTGTGTTCCCACTTAAACGTCATCTTGAATTGTAACCCCCATAATACCTACGTGTTGTGGGAGGGACCCAGTAGGAGGTAATTGGATCATACGGGCAGATTCCCCCATGCTGTTCTTGTGACATGAGACATCTCATGCAATCTGATGGTTTTATAAGTGTCTGGCATTTCCCCTGCTGGCAGTCATTGTCTCTCCTGCTGCCCTGTGAAGAGATGCCCTCCACCATGATTTTGAGTTTCCTGAGGTCTCCCTAGCCATGTGGAACTGTAAATCAATTAAAACTTTTTTCTTTATAAATTACCCAGTCTTGGCTATTTCTTCATAGTAGCATGAGAACAGACTAATGGAGTAAAAAAAGTTGAATAAAACACAATCTTTGTGGATGAAAGAGATGGGTGAACTAATATTTATACAATAAACATTAAGCCTGGTATATGTAAGTACCTCAATAAACTCCTGTTAAACTTATGTGTATGTATGTGTGTGTGTCTTTATTGATTGTACAAACACAACACACAGAAGATAATATGGTAGAACACAGGAGGAGTTGTTAAAGTCTGACTCAAATATCTAAACATTGAATAATTTCAAAGTTCTGCAAAAACTTGCATAAAGTTTAGATATTTTGAATTATCTATATTTATAGACAATTAGTAGTTTTTAATATACTTTTTTGGGTTAACCTGTAAATCAGAGGTGGCAAAATCAAATGTCCACAGGAATTTGATAGGTAACAGAAATGTGTGATACTAACAAGAAAGAGCCTGGGGCTGGGGGTATTGGTGAGGAGTTCCTGAATAAACCTCGAAATTACCAGTTCCACCAACAAATTAACACTTTTTTTTTTTTTTTTTTTTTTTGAGATGGAATCTCGCTCTGTCACCCAGGCTGGAGTGCAGTGGCCGGATCTCGGCTCACTGCAAGCTCCACCTCCTGGGTTCATGCCATTCTCCTGCCTCAGCGTCCCAAGTAGCTGGGACCACAGGCGCCTGCCACCTCGCCCGGCTAGTTTTTTGTGTGTTTTTTAGTAGAGACGGGGTTTCACCGTGTTAGCCAGGATGCAAATTAACACTCTTAATTTGTAAATTTATAAAGCACCAGACCTGCCAACCAAACATGTTTGGTTCCACATCTGTATTTGGTCCAGCTACTTGAGCTGTTAAATACAACCCAGTTTGTTTTCTAGATATTTTACATTAAGAATACTATCCTCAATTTTAGTCCTGACTCTTTTTTTGCCACTAGTTGCTATCTGTAATTTATTTCTACAGAACTTTATCCATATGCCAGTTTAAGCTGAAAATTGATTTTGTGTGTAATTGCTGAGGGAGGTAAAAGGTGATAGTAAAAAAGGTGAAGATTTAACAGACACAGACATGATTCATAAACAATAACAATTTATTGAAGCATTCATGAGTGAAGGTTCAGAAACTCAAGTTAGTTATTTCACTCAATTCCACCAGATTCTAGGACCTGAATAAAATTAACCATACTAAAAAGAAACTGGTAGACAACAACAAGAATGGTACCATTTATGGGTCACCTAATACGGACTCAGGTACTTGTGTCAAGTTTTTTAAAACTGTAGCAAAATAAACATAACAGAGAATTAACCATCTCAATTGGCTTTAAGTGTATAGTTCAGTAGTGTTAAGCATATCTACACTGCTGTGCATCTATTCTCCAAAGCTCTTCTCATCCTGTGAAACTGACACTCTGTACCCATTAAATAACTCCCTACTTTACCCAACTCCAGCCTCTAGCAATCATCATGCTACCTTCTCTAGCTATGTATTTGGCTACTACAGGGGCCTCATATAAGTGGAATCACAGATTATTCGTCGTTTATGCGATTAACATAATGTCCTCAGTTTCCTGCATGCATTCCTGCATCCCTTTGTTTTTAAGGCTGAATAATATTCCGTGTCTGTATACAGTACATTTTGCTTATCCACGCATCCATCAGTGGACACACGGGTTGTTTCACCTTTTAGCTTTGGTGGGCGCTGCTGTGAGCACAGCTGTGTCCATATCTCTTCTATACCCTGCTTTCAATTTTGGGGGTATATACCTAAAAGTATAATTGCTGGATCATATGGCAATTCTATTTTTAATGTTTTCCACATTGGCTGCACTGTTTTACATTCCCACCAATTTAATTTTAAAACGATTCTAAAAGTCTGTCAACTTCTAAGAGCCACGAGCTTTTGGACATGTCACAGAGGTTCCTCAAGTCTCAATTTCCTCACCTATAAATGAGAATTGTTACCTCATAGTGCTGCTAGGAGTGGACTGAATGAGATTTTCCTTTAAAGGTATTTATGCTTGTTGCCTAGTAACCATTTAATAATTAATTCCTGAGCAGACACATTAGGCTCTTTGATTTGTTTAAGTGTTTATTCCTGTAGAATCTTTCTTTAGTTGGCTAATTTGAATCATGTTGTGTGAACTCTAGTTATACTCTCTGAAATTAACATCCTCCTTCAGTTGTTCTGTATCCATTGTGGGCTTCTGTCATGCTGGTCTTGTTACCGGTGGTGAATCCATACGCATCTGCAGCAACCTCAATTCTTATCTCCTCGGAAAAGGAAGGGCCTAAGGCAGCAGGAGAAACCGAGGCAAGTTTCAGAGCCAGGTTGAAAACTTATTAACAAGTTTAGAGAGGGAATGAAAGGAAGTAAAGTACACTTGGAAGAGGGCCAAGTCGGTGACTTGAGAGCATCCAGTACCCCGTTTGACCTTTGACTTAGGGTTTCACACACTGGCATACTTCCAGGGTCTCGCATCCCTTCTCCTCTTATTCTTCCCTCGGGGTGGCTGTCCGCATGTGCAGTGTCCTGCTAGCGCTCGGGAAGGGCCGCATGCACAGTGTGTTTTCTGGAGTTGTACGCATGCTCACTTGAGGCATTCTTCCCTTACCAGTCAAATCTGCCTGGAAGGTCACATACCAATTCAACTCCGCCACGCTGCCTCTTAATGTGCAGGTTTGAGCCCATTCACTCAGTTCCTGAGATCTTACCGGGAAGCTGCTGATCACCAGTTTTGGGATTTTTTCTAGTTATTGAGAGAGTTCTTTTTCCTGGTGCTGACTGTGACCAAGTATTTTAGAGAGACTGTTTAACCATCGCCTGACCATCTCTGATGGTCATCTGAAAGTCCTGGTTGAAGTAGGGGGAAGTGCTCTCCTGTCCTGCTCATGCCTGACTAGCTACCTACTATTACAGTCTGGGCTCTAATTGCTCCATCATAGTGACCAAGGAATTACCATTCTTTTCTTGAAATTGTATACATTGCATGGCACATATTCACTATTAGTAGAAGTTATCCCTCCTTGCATCCCAACAATGGCCATCCTGTTTCTAAGGTAACAAGTGCTGTTTCAATAGGCTTTACATGAATAGTCACAAGGGATTTTATGTTGTACTTTGGACTTTGGAAGACTGCCGTGATTTTGAGGTTCATACTTTAGATGATTAAAGGAACAAAGGAGGAGAAACAAAATGTTTGTCCACCTTCCATCTCAGGTTTAGTATCTGTCCAGCCTGACCTGAATTAGAAGCAGGACTGGAAATTATTAAGGCAGTGTGGAGAAGCATTTGGGAGTTTTGTAAGGTTATCCCCCTCAGTCTCAAAGCCAATGGCCATGTTTTAGCAACATTGCTTATACCTTAGAGAAAGAAATGCAAAGAATACATTTAGTTGGAGTTTCTCAACAAATGGAACCATGTGCTAATCTGTAGACCTTATTTTAGTCCATTCACATATTTTAAGCCTAGTCAATTTTAAAACTTGTCCAATTACAATTATTAAATAACAATGTAATTATTTGCATCAAAGAATATAAAATTATTTATTTACAATGATATTTAACTTTTCTCATAAAAATGTTTTGGGGAATATACATTTATTGATCTATTTGTAAGCTATGAGAGCAAAGTATAAAATATGTGAATTGTAAACTCCTCCTAGAGAAGAATGTTTGAAAGGAAGACATGGGCAGTTCCATCAAATAAACTGGTTATTGCTAATATGGGGAAGGCTGCTGTGATCTAATTTAACCAAGAAACTGTTGAACATGAATGAAAATCAGGATGGAATGCCATCCTTCCTGTCGATGCCCCTCAGGACAGACCAGGAAAGTTCAAGGATAAGCAGATGGATGCAGATAATTTTTAGCAGAAGACATAGGTTTCATGAGAGAGGAGATAGGAGACTACAATGCTGCACAAACAAAGCTTTTAAACCTTTTTTTTTGACGAAAATATATACACAAAATAAGCAACAAATTCCTTGTAAAATGCACATTGGCTTCTCTTTATACACAAAATCAAAATGCAACAAGACTCTTGAAATTCTGCAATAAAAATTATGAATGAAAATAAAAATAGACAAAAGATTTAAGCAAACACTTTACAAAGGAATATGCATACGTGGCCAATGAACACATGAAAAAGTGCCCAACATCATTAAACGTGAGGGAAATGCAAATTAAAACTAAAATGAAATATCACTATGGATGCATTAGAATAGTTAAGATGGAAAAAAAAAAAAAAAGATTGGCAATGCCAAAATGTTTGTGAGGATGTGATACAATCGGGACACTGGTACTTTGCTGTTAGAGATGGAAAATGATACAACCATTGTTTATTTTATGTCTTTCATTTAAAATGACATTTTTCAAATAAGGAATAATTGAGGGGGATCTGATAAACATAATGTCCAATATCAGTATGAGTAGAAATAATATAGGTTAGTATAAAGAAACGTGGTAAATTACATATAATTAGTTTTATTTTTAAAAATCTAGTTCAATGCTACAGTTGAAATGCCTCCTTCTAGTTCAGAATGAGGGATTTTACTCAAAATAGATTTAAATGCAGTGTGAGCTTAACTACTCTGATAAAGCAAAATTGATGTCATAAAGTATTATGTGGCTCTATTTATCTGCGTGGAATGACTCGTATTTTAAAATATTTCCCTTTACTGACCTCAGTAAGGAATAGTTGATAACTTTCTCCTTCATTCCTCACTTTAAAGAGGGCCTTCTGAGTACTCTCCTGAGTTGCCAGTGCTGTGACAGTCTGAGAAAACAGCAAAAGACATAGTAATATCCAGTTTTTCCGTAAGTTTATAGTAGTCAATTACCTGAAATCACCACTACTGGATTAATTTCTTATCTTTAAGGTATTTTCTCCAAAGAGAACTTGTTAAAATAAATATATATTTCAAGATATGAAAGAAATGTGAAATAATTAAAAAGACTTAAGTGGCACGTTTCACATCAAAAGAAGGCTTGGATATTTTCTATATTCTCCTTGGAGATAGGGAAGAATACACTGACAAAAAATTTGAAAGAAACATCTTATGCTCTAATTGCTGGATGGAAAAAGAACCATAAAACCAATATTTTTATATCCTTAAGAAAACGGAAAAGAAAAGTGGGTTAAAAAGAGAATTAGCATTTATCTGTCACCAACTCCAAATAAAGGATTTTATGTACTTTCTAATTGATATACTATCTCATTTCTATATCCACAGCATTTCTAAGAAAAATTTATTATGGTCCTCAATATACAGAAAATGAATTTGTACCTTCCTAAATTCATTTGCTTACTAAGGCAAGAATTGGCAGATTTCTGACTTCTGTTATTTCTACTACCTAAGCTCTACCAATGTCTATATCTTCCATCTGTATCCAGGAAACTCAAATCTTAGTTTTGGAAACTGGCTAACTATAGAAAATACACTTGTGGTATGAAAAGACTATAAATTTAACCTGAGATTCTATCTCATAAAAGCAAGAAAAGAAAAGCAAATAAAACAAAAAGACAGACAACTGAGAATAATAGTGGAAAAATGCACTGTTGGGCCATTGTGAGATCAGGGATTATACTCTATCATATTTTTTGTTTATGATCTTTATATATAAATTAAATATATATGTGATATTAAAACATATTTCAGTAGTTTGGAGATAATTTTCTAAAGAATGACAGAATTATGGTCTCTAGTATACCTTCAATACACTTAACTGAACAGACTCTTAACATTTGGTATATAAACCTGTGTTATCATCTAGTGGTAAAGTGTTAGAAATACAGACACAGACTCCCTGAATCCCCAGAAGAAGCTAATTCATGAATCCAGAAGGTGCAACATATCATACAAACAATGTGGTCTAATTGCATTCAGCTAGGTTCTCAAATATATACAGATAAAGTTGGATCACAATGAAGGTTGATAAAAGCTTAAATCTGTGCATTTAATGTTCTGTGAAGGTGTGAATAATGCTACCTTCAGAGTTGGGTGGGAAAAGTTTTATTACTTTTATTCAAATTTAAACAATAGGTAAGAAATAGCTTTCCGGATTAAGCACTGGAAAACCACAAAGCCTATGAAACATTGATGCCCAAAAACATGCCCAAAAACGAAAGTGGGAAAATTAAAATAATGGACTATAACTTAGATACAAGCACTATTCTTTCCTGAGAAGAGGAAAACACTGCCAACATGGTGTAACAGACTTGGTCTTTCTCCTAGTGTTTCCCTAAAATTCTCATGAGAAGGAACACTGATAAGATGCAAACATATCAGTAGTACATTGTGGCACATAAGTCCATGAATGCCGTTTCTTTTGGATCAGCAACGAATATAAGAGACTAAGACAGGAAATGGGTACATTATCAATCCTTCCCACACACATTCTCTCAGCACCTGTCATGCCAGTCTCTCTATAAGTTACAAGAGCTAAAGCAAATCAGTAAAGATCTAATGGGGGAAGAACTGACACACAATTACAATCCAAAATAAATGGCATGATAAAGAACTGTGCAACATCTGTGAGCCACAAACAAAAATAAAAAACTGAAATTGGGAGCAAAGAGAAGCGTATGAAAGAGGTATTAATTGAACTTAGCATTGAATTATGAGTGAAGACTTAACAGCTATCTGAGATGGAGAGGATTAGAGGCCTAGAAACATTAAAAAAGCTGTTCCGCTTGAAAAACAGTAAGAAGCTTGAAGAAGGCAAGCTCATGTGTGATGCTGCAGTAAGAAATTCTGGGCGGTCAGAGAGTAATAGCTGATGTGCAGTAGGTGGAATCGTGGAAATGATGAACAGAGAAGATAATCAGGGAAGAAAAAGTCCAACTGAAACTCAAGCTATTGACTTATTGTATGCTTTGTTTTTATATTTTCGTAATTTTGTCATCAATTTAAAGGAATAAACTTTTAGAAGTTAAACTCCTTGGAAGCATTTTGTCTATTTCGGTCAGTACTGAATTCCTCAATGCTTAGAAAAGTACCTGGCACATAGCAGCAGATGAATGAATATGTAAATATTTGTAAATTGAAACTTAAAAATATTCAGTAAATATTTATTGAGCCCTTGATATGTGCTGGCACTGTAACATATAGTAAGCATGTTGACCTTTTGCCCAAGAAGATTAAGTTAAAGATAACTTATAACGGGTGACAAACAAGCTTTTTCAAATGCCTGGGAAATCTACCAGAAGGGCACTACTGAATATGTGTATTACTCTCTTTTGAGTGAGAGCATTTTATTATCATGAATAATCACATGAGACCCTTGATCACTTGAAATGTGTCTATTCCAATTTGAGATGGCCATAAATATAAAAGTCACACAAGATTTTGAAAGCTTGGTGCAAACAAAGAGAATACAAATATCTCAGCAAATAATTTTGTATTGGTTGCATGTTGAAATGGTAATATTAAATATACTGTCTTAAATAAAATATCTCATTAAAATTAACTTACCCCTTTCTTTTTACTATATATGTGGTTGCTAAAAAAAATGGAAAATTACATACATAGCTCGCTTTATATTTCTACCAGACAGTGCTCTGCTAAAAATCAAAGATTGAATTGTTATTCTCAAAGTATGGGTTGAAATGCCTCTTTACATTTAAATTTCAGACTATATTAATTTTGAATACTGAGGCTACAGATGAATTTGCTAAACAACTTAAGTGACTTAAGTGAGTTGTACAATTAAGAACAACTGTACTCGATTCTATAGGCAGTAACCTAATTCAATACTTGATGATTCAGGTACAGATATAGAGAACCAATCTTGAGCCTTCACAAAGCTTAAGATTTCTTGCTGACTGGAGGGAAAGTAAGAAACTTTCAATAGCTTTTTCTGCAGGTATTCAGATTTGACCTAGTGCCCCAGTTTATAAATGGAATCAATTTCTTTGTGAAGTTCCACTACTTCCTGGATGCAGGAAAATAGTGCAAGCACTGAAATGGCAGAATTGGAGAATAAGATCTACGCTGCTAGTTAGCGAGCTTTGAGACCTCTCTGTCAGAGCTGTATGATTGCGACCCAGTGTGTGCTTCCTGATGGGAAGTGTTTTCCCTTGGGCCAACTCTGCTGCCAGAAATTTCAGAATACTATTTGAGGTGTGTGCATTCATGTGAAATAGCAGTATTGTGAAAATTCAACTTGGCAATTCTATGCAGTATGGAACCAGGAATCAAATAGATGAGGAAGAAATGGGGATGCTGGAGCATGGCTAACAGCAGGGATGGCTGGACAATGTTATTCTGGTCTAGGAAAGTTGTGAAGGGGCTTTATCTAGGATGAACAAATAACTGTTTAAAGAGCATGTAGACTCACTCAAGGCATTTGCAAGACAGAAGGAATCAGAAATCCAACAAACTGCAATGTAACATGAGAAAAAATATTGGTAGATGATCTAGCTCTTAACACTCTTTCTGTCAGTGCCAAAGTTGAGTTCACACATGGTCAATATTCAATCTGAATTTCAGGCAGGGAATTCATTGTTGGTTCACTGTAGTTATTAATGGTATTTGCCAAATAGTCCCAATTCTCTCCACTTCCTGACACATAATAGGATTTTATTTCCTGGAAATCTTGTGGTTTGATGGAAACAGGTGACTAATTGTATCCAAAAATTCATGTGTATTACTCCCTTTTGAGTGAGAGCATTTTATTATCAATTCAATATTATGTGGAATCTAAGATCCACAATATGCTGAGTCACATTGATTACACTACCTTTGACATAATAAGTAGAAACTAACCAGAATTAGACTTTCCATCTAACTTATTTATTATAGGGTTATGTGACATGACAAAAATCTATTTAATATAAAAGTTATTCAATATAAAAAGCTACCCAATCAACTAGACTAAAATTTTTCCATCTATACACAAACACATACATTTTTTTTGGACCAGAAGTAAGGGAAATACAGTGCCTTAACCCATAGGCTTTTTTCCCACAGACCTTCAATCAGTGTTGAGGTTTCCTGATAGGTATTTATCCTCTCTCTTTCTCTAGTAGACGCCTACATTGTCACCATGAATTGAATGCAATATGAGGACTCTCATCTGAATGATACTCAGGGTTCTGGCCTTTTTCAAATACTAGGAAAGTCAGGAGACAGCATCCACATCTGCAGTGGGAACAAGAGCCATCAATCTAAGAAAGCCCAAGGTTTATCTATCTGTAGTGAGAATTTCCATTTCTGTGATTTTTCCCCCAAAGTTGGTGTTGTTTATTTCCTTGTGACTAGCTATTGCGAAATAGTTGGTAGAATGTGTTGATCTGATAATTAATTCAACTACATCTAGCTTTGCGACCCCACTTTTCTGGTGGTAGATTTTAGAGATAATCAAATTAAGCAAAACTCATATATTGACACTAATAAAATGATATTCTCTTATATGGGACTTCATAACATTTTAGACCCTTGTATACATTGAGGATAGTTCCAGAGCTCTCTTTTTCCTATGGCATAATAATTTTCAAGGCCCAAGATAGTGGCTTCTCTATCAGCTTTGGTCTCTGATGGACTACAGTTAAAGATTTCCATCATTAGGCTGGGCGCCGTGGCTCAGCCTGTAATCCCAGCACTGTGGGAGGCCGAGCTGGCAGATCACGAGGTCAGAAGATCGAGACCATCCTGGCTAACACGATGAAACCCCGTCTCTACTAAAAATACAAAAACGAGCCGGGGGTGGTGGTGGCGCCTGTGGTCCCAGCTCCTCGGGAGGCTGAGGCAGGAGAATGGCGGGAACCCGGGGGGCAGAGCTTGCAGTGAGCCAAGATGGCGCCGCTCACTCCAGCCTGGGCGACAAGCGAGACTCCGTCTCAATAAATAAATAAATAAATAAAAGAAAAAAAGATTTCTGTTATTAGTAATCAGAAAGGTATAGACAAAAGAAAAGAATATCATTTCTGGTGTTACTGGTCTGGATTGTGATCTTGGTTACAATATTTACTAGTTGTGTTGCCATAGGAAAGTAAACTCTCCTCTCTGAGTCTTGATTCCTTCATCTTTAAAATAAAGCTAATCATGGCAACCCAGTGAACGATTATGAAGAACAAATGAGATAAAACAAAGGAAAGCCATTCCACAGATGAACAGTGATTCACATTATGATAGGCAGTAGATACGACATTTTCTTTTTGTCTCTAGTTATAGATTTTCCATTTGGTTCCTTTTTGTATTTTTCACTTTTTTAATGTTTAATTTTGAATTTTAGTGGGTACAGAGATATGTATTTCTCTGGGTACATAAGATGTTTTGATACAGGCATGCAATGTGTAATAATCATATCATGGAAAGTGGGGTATCCATCCATTCAAGCATTTCTCCTTTGTTCTACAAAAAATCCAGTTACATTTTTCTAGTTAGTTTTAAATGCACAATTAAATTATCATTAACTAGAGTCACCCTGTTATGCTATCAAATATTAGGTCTTATTCATTCTTTCTAACTAATCTTTTTGTACCCATTAACCATCCCCACCTTCTCCCACCCCCACTGCCCTTTCTAGCCTCTGGTAATCATCCTTCCCTCTATTTCCATGAATTCAGTTGCTTTGATTTTTAGATCCCACAAATAAATGAGAAAATGTGATGTTTGTCTTTCTGTGCCTGGCTCATTTCACTTGATATAATGATCTCCAGTTCCATCCATGTTGTTGCAAAAGACAGGATTTTATTCTCTTATATGGCTGAATAGTACTCCATTGTGTACAGGTACAACTATTTTTTATCCATTCATCTGTTGAAGAACACTAGGTGGCTTCCAAATCTTGCTACTGTGAAGGGTACCGCAACAAACATGGAAGTTCAGCTATCTCTCTGACATGTTGGTTTTCTTTCTTTTGGGTACATATGCAGTAGTGGGATTGCTGGGTCATATGGTAGCTCTATTTTTAGTTTTTGAGAAACTTTCAAGTTGTTTTCCATAATGGTTTTACTAATACACATTCCCACCAACAGTGTACCAGCGTTCCCTTTTCTTCACACCCTCACAGGTGTTTGTTATTGCCTGTCTTTTCTATGTAAACTATTTTAACAATGTTAAGATAACATCTCATTGTAGTTTAGATGTGCATTTCTGATGATCAATTATGTTAGTATCTTTTCCTATGCCTGTTTGCCATTTTTATGTCTTCTTTTGAGAAATATCTATTCAAATCTTTTGGCCATCTTTTGATTGGATTATTAGATTTATTTCCAGTAGAGTTGTTTGAGCTCCTTAGATATTCTGTTTATTAATTCCTTGTTAGATGGATAGCTTGCAAATATTTTCTCCCATTGTGTGGGTTGCCTTTTCACTTTGTTGATTGTTTTCTTTGCTGTACAGAAGCTTTTTAACTTGATGCGATTTCATTCGTACATTTACTCAAGAAAATTCTGTCCAGACCAATGGCTTGGAGTTTTTCCCCAACGTTTCTTGCAGTAGTTTCCTAGTTTGGGATCTTTGATTTAGGTCTTTAATCCATCTTGGTTTTTGTATACAGTAAGAGACAGGCGTCTAGTTTTATTCTTCAGCATATAGATATCCAGTTTTCTCAGCATCATCTATTAAAGAGATTGTTTTTTCCCCAGTGTTTGTCCTTGACATCTTTGTCAAAAATGAGTTCAGCATAGGGGTGTGGATTTGTTTCTGGGTTCTCTACGCTGTGCCATTGGCCTATGTGTCTGTTTTTCTTCCAGTACCATTTTGTTTTGGTTACTATAACTCCATGGTATGATTTAAAGTCTGGTAATGTGATTCTTCCAGTTTTATTCTTTTTGCTTAGGATAGCTTTGGCTATTCTGGGTCTTTTGTCATTCCATATAAATTTTAGGATTGTGTTTTGTACTCTAAATTATCTTTCAATGTAAGACCTCTATATGCTCACTAACATTTGAATAATGATAAAGTTAAAGTGAAGTTGAAGCTGGTCCTTAGCTTTGCAGTTAGATGACGTGGCCATCAAATGAAATAGAGATTATGAAATAAGGGGAAGGCTGCATCCTGCAGTTGTCTCATTGAATAGAATAAGTAATTTGCATGGCTGGTTAAAAAATTCGGGTATCCTTCCTCTACATTGACTTTAGGAATGCAATTTCTCATTTACACCTTACGTATGGTACTCAGTCTCCTTTTCTTCCTCGATACATAAATGCCTATATTAACTTCATGTTTGCCTAAATCTAATAGACTGTTCTCTCCTAGCCTTGAAAATCCTTCTCATATCTTTTTAATTTTTTTTTTTTAATTTTTTTTTTTTTTTGAGACGGGAGTCTGGCTCTGTGGCCCAGGCTGGAGTGAGCGGCGCCATCTTGGCTCCCTGCAAGCTCCACCCCCCGGGTTCCCGCCATTCTCCTGCCTCAGCCTCCCGAGGAGCTGGGACCACAGGCGCCGCCACCACGCCCGGCTGGTTTTTTGTATATTTAGTAGAGACGGGGTTTCAGCGTGTTAGCCAGGATGGTCTCGATCTCCTGACCTCGTGATCCGCCCGCCTCGGCCTCCCAAAGTGCTGGGATTACAGGCTTGAGCCACCACGCCCGGCCCCCCTTCTCATATAATTCTTTAAAATTGCTCACCACTCACTGCACTCAGCAAATGTTAAGTTTTAATTGTGAAGACTCATTGTCTTTTGCCTCACGCTACTTTTTCTCTGCCAAGGCTGCACAGCAAGAACACAGATTCTTGCTCCAGCATCTGCTTTACTTTCTGTTTTTCCTTTGACACCATTAGATTTCTGTCTTTACACTTACTCTGGACTTTAGGAGAAGATCAACCCCTGAGTCAGACACTGCATTTGTTGGTACAAAATTGGATGTTCTTTCTGCTCTATTTCACTTTTCACAGTATTTTGGCTCTGGTAATCCTATCCCTGTCTTACTCAACTTGAAGTCTGAGCAATACATAGTCTGTAGTCTAACAATATTTTGATTTTTAACTATGATGTAAGCATTTTACTAAGCATTTAGTTAGGGTCTATATTTGGTCAACAGAAAGAAAGATGCTTAATTTATTTTCCTGGAAAAGTTTCATTCATTCATTCACCAATAGTAGTTTACTTACTAAATACCTAACAGTAAAGGAGGTGTCCAAGAAGGAAAAAGAAAATTGTCCTTTAATGAATTTACAGTCTAGCTGAATAAAAAAGAATAGTCTATTTATCATTTTAGTTTCGTTTTATTAAAAATACTTCAATTCCCTTTTTTTTCACCTTTAGATTAAATGAATTTGGCAACAGCCTAACATATTTGGGCCATGTACAGAGTCAATCTAAAACCATAAGATTTTAATGAAGAACATTCTAATAGTAATTATTAAAGTAAAAATCTGTTTTCTTTATATCTTTATTTAATTTTCTTTAGAAATATAATTTTGAATATTTGTCAATTTAATATGTAGTTAGATAAAAACCTACTCATGATTTCTTAAGTTCAGGACTCTACAGGGTGTACAAATGAATAACTGATGGAATTTACAATGAATTCAAAGAAGAAAATAACCATTTGGATTTATTAATTTTATTGCCCTCAAAGTTTATTTCAATTCTCAACTTAATTGTCCTATGGGTATCTATCCTTTTTTGGTTTTACTTGCTTCACACACACACACACACACACACACACAAACAATACTCATATATCATGAACATCCACACATTTCAATTTAATCCAATAGAAAACTCTCATTCACCAAAAGCTTGCTTTGATTTCCATACTTTTGAAGGCCTCCTCAGATCTATTTTCCTGCTGTCCTATTTTCTTTCAGCTTTATCCTTAAGAAAGCCTCTCTGTGATTTGAAACATTTTCCACTGTCTATTGCAATGGTTAACTTTTTATATTTATACCAATAATATGATGCATTTAAGCACTCTGCTGTGTTTTGATAAGATTCATAGGGGTCTAGGCATTTCCAGCTACATAAAAATGTTCAAAAAATAAAGCATGAGGGCAAAACTAAATGCCCTGCTGACCAAAAGAGTTCAGAAGACACGGTCGAATCCTGATCTATAGAAGCATTTTCTGAAGATGGGAGCCACACAGAAGGCTTCATTAACTTCCAAACACTTCAAAATGAAAAGTAGGAAGAAAGTATCTTGGAAAGATTGGACAGCAAGACAACACACTAAACAGGATACACATTATGATAAATAAAGGGGGTTGTTTGATTTAAGGACTATTGTTTTCACTTTCCTTTTTAATGAAAATGGAGAATAAACTGGTAGCTTCGAGAGAGAAAAATAAAGTATTATACTTTTACCAGATATTGATCACTTATGCTTGCTGACTCATATCTTCTAGCCCTCTAAGTTTCAACACCAAGAAAGGGGGAAAAACACTCTTCTCACACTATAATGAACAAAGAAAAAAAGAGGAATAATGTAATTCTTCATAAAATTTCAGAAAAAAAAAAAAGTAACAATTGAAGCTTATCATCCTGTTCAAATATAATCTGTAAGAAGAAATTATAGTTAGTGAGCCTTGCAGCATACACAGGACGCAGGATGTTGTAATTTTTATAATATTATCTTAATATATCATTAGTCATTTAGCAATTCTAAATGTTAAATTTCTCACTTGCCCTTGGAGGTCATGCTATAAACTATTTGAAAAGTAATTTATTCAGATATGTTAGGAAACGTGAGTTCAACAGTGAATAACTTCTAAAAATATTTTATCATAAGGGAACAGAAAAATATCAACTGCAGAGCAGAAAAATATTCTGTTTCCTACCACCTTTGCCAGGATAAAGACTATTTTTTAAATAATTAATTAGGAGGCCATTAGACTGGGGTGGCTCCAGTGCCCTGGGTTTATATGTGAGCAAACCAAATCCAATTCAATGTAAACAGTCATTTTCTAGGCCAATCAGAAACTGCCACCTAACTCCTAAGGAATTTCCACTCCTGAAGCTGCACCAATCAGAAACTGCAAATTAACCTCTAAGTAGGAACTTTTCCCGGGAGTGCTCCCAATAAGGCTACTGCTCCCCTTTAGTCAATCAAAAATTTTCTTTTTTGTTCTGATTCTGCAGAGACCTATTAAAGCCTTCCCTCTGTGGCCCTTTATTAGATCCCCAAACCCTCTGTGGTCTGGAGCTACACAATTCATGAATCACTGTCTGTTCAAATAAACTTTGTAAAATTTCTGTGTGCCTTAGTTTATGTTTTGGAACTGCCTAAAGGTCATTTCTCATGTCTACAACTTGGCTGCGTCTCATACTAATTGAGGTAAATAAAAGATAGAATGTTCCCAACATCAAAATAATAGGCAAATAAATAAATAAATAACAGCGAAAAACTTCTCAGGACCAATTACATGACTACATTAGGTAAAATAAATTTTTTCACTATTATTTTAACCCAAATCACTAATAGAAAAAAATTAGAGATGGGCTCTCGCTATGTTGCCCAGGCCATCTTCAAACTCCTCTCCTCAAGTAATCCTTCCACCTCAGCCTTTAGAACAGCTATCATTATAGGTGTATGCCATTACGCTTGGCTTTCCAAATCCCTACATTTTAAGTCTCAATTTTCTGATTTATTTTTCAACTGGTGACAGAACTTTTTAATGTATTGGGATAGTTTTGATCACTATTCCAACTATCCACATGACAGAAGAGGCTCCTGGATACACGTCTTTTGTAATTCTCTTGACACTGCATGCACCAGAGACTTTATGGCATCAGAGGCTGTGCCACAGAAAGTCATTCAAAATCGACTCAAATTTTCTTTTCACTCTTATTAGTGGAAACTAACACATCATACTATTAACATAATTAATTTGACCTAAAAGCTACATACAAAACTTTCTTAACAGAGGGAAATTATTTCTTTAAATATACTCAAACTAAACTTTAAATAGATATGCTTCATTACAAGTCAAGAAAGAAAAATGAGGCCAAATTAAATTTGAATGAAGCTAATGTAAATTTGAAGTTATTACCTCTTTCCTTTTAACATGTTAGGTGGATTCTGACAACAAAGACATTCAGACTTACAATTTAGTTATGTGAAATACTAATGACGATTACCTTGGAAACAGTTACAGTTTCTCAGAAATCTACTTATGAAATGAAAACACAAATGCAATCATAACATTCTCGCTTACAATAGAAGCATAGGAAGCAATAAATGGTTGGGTCTGGAAATAAACTATCTATAATTTTGGTAGATGTGCATTTCTACCCCTCAGTTACTGACCTATCACCAAGGAGAGAAAGGTCAAGTCCATATTCAACTCACTCCACCTGCTAAAACTTGCCAATAGATTAAAAAAGGAAAATATAAGAATTAATGTGGAGAAGTATAATATTTCAAAGGAGATATCAATGAGCCAATATCCAAGTTTTTAAATTAAATTCAGATGTTCACTGAGCCAATGACATTGTCATTTGCAGTGTGTACGTGTGTGTGTGTGTGTGTGTGTGTGTGTGAGAATCTCAACAAATAGGTCAACAGAGGGTTATGGAAATTGGCAGTTGCTAGCAGTCATTAAGCCACACTTGAAAAACAACTTTTCAGAGAAAAAAGTCCACAAAAGAAGTAAGTCAAATAATTCATCATCTTCCATCAAGATTTAAGGCTATAAATTTGCTCATAATTATTTAAACTAATTGTGAGCAAAAGACTTGAATGCATTATGACAATTAGAACTATGCCTTAAAAATGTAGAATCAGACAACCTTGACAGCCGCTTCACTTGAACTATTGAGTCATTTCAGTTGAAAATATTCCCAAAAGAAGAAAAAAATTAATATTCTGTGGAGCTGCATGCAAGATGGAAGCCCTCTGAACTACCTGAAGGGTTCAAGGCAGGTTTAGCCCTTCTGGACTCTGACTGTGTCTACAAAAGCAAAGTGAAGTGAAGAAGTAAAGCAATTATCCTGATTAACCAAGCAAAAAATAATTCCCTGCAAGTCAGAAACAGGCAATTGGTGAAGCATGAATTATCCAGCTTTACTATACTATATATGTTGGCCAAACTCATCAAACAACACTATTTTACTTTACATTGTTTGTGTAGACAATTTAAATAACCTAATAATATTGTGAAAGACAGCTAACCTCAAACCTTAAGTGTGCCTACATTTCTTCCCATAACATGGAGATGAAGGAAAGGTTTATTTCAGGAGACCTAGCACATATTGAAATCCGATGAAGATGAAGGGGCATTCCAACATTGCGAACGAGAATGCTATGTCTCTAATGACCACATAGTCTTCATAAGCACCCTAGGCTAGAAAGAAGTATGAAGCTAGGTCAATAATAGAGTAGAGGCCATGGATAAATCAGTGATGTATGTCTTACTTCAATCTCAGAAAACTCACACTTACGTAGGGGAGCCTAACCAAATAAAATATCCAAAGAGGAGGAGATAAAATAAATTCAAGTTTTGAATATGTTGCAATGGAACCAGATGAAAGGTTGAGTATGGAGAGATCTACTTTAGGGTAGTCAGTGAAATCCCCCCGAGATGTATTAGGTATTTCAAATATTCCATAACAAATGACCTCAAATCGAGTAGCTTAATGCAACACCATTTATGCAATCCTGAGTCAGGAATCTGGGATCTGCTTAGTTTGGTCCTTTTAATTTAGGGTATCTCACAAGACTCTAATCAAAGTTTCAGCCAGATGTAGGGTCCCATCTGGAAACTCGACTGAGAAAGGAATTTCTTCCAAGTTCATTTACATGGTTGTTTACAAGATTCAGTTTCATTTGGGTTACTGGACTGAGGGCTTCATCCAATGGCTGCTGGCCAGGGGCTGCTCCATCCTTCCCACATGGAATTGCAAACATAACAACCTATTTCATCAAAGCCAGCAAGAGAGAGAATCTGCTAGCAAGACAAAAGTCAGATCTTTGTAATCTCATTGCAGCAGTGACAACCTCTCTGGGATGAGATATCCTATTGGCTAGAAGAAAGTTACTAAAATGAAGGAGATAACACAAGGCCATGCATACCAGAAGGCAGGGATCATGTGGGGCCATATTAGACACAATTTACCACAGAAGATGTCACCTAAACCTAACCCTTGGAAAAGTAAGAGAAAGAGAATCCCAGGCAACAGGAAATACCAAAGTCCTGAGATTTAAATAAATAAATAAATAAATAAATACTCTTTAGTGTTCAAGAAATTGAAATAAGAATAATAGAAAATTATAAATCATGAGGAAAGTGTTAAAAGATGAATTGGAGAGACAAGCTGAAGTCAGGCCATGAACATCCTCTTAGACCATGGTAAACAGTTTAGTTTTATTCCAAGTGTGAGGAAATCTATTCACAGTTTTTAGCAGAGGCGTTGCATGATCTCGTTTACTTGCTAAGTGGATAACTGAGGCTGTTGTGTGAAAAATGGAAAGGATGTCACAGTAGTGGTGGTAATGAGATGGTAATGAAGACAAGATAATTGAGACTATTCTGGACTGAGTGAGGTGACAGAGGCAAGCGATAAAAGAAGAGACATTATTCAAGTTGTATCTTAGAAGTGGAACCAACCTGGCTTAAGTACGACAGGTGAGGAAAAGGGGAATTTAATTGCTGCTAAATTTCTGGCATAAACAGCTTGATTGTATTATTAACTGAGACGCACAAGACTGTGGAGTGGGAATGAAAACACAATTTGACCAGAAAAAAATCCCAGGTTTAATTTTGGACATGTTAAATTTGAGACGTTTGTAAGACTTCCAGTGGAGATGTCAAATAGGTAGTGGGAAATAATCTGAAACTCAGACAAAAGATCATGTTGCAAATTTATCTGCATGATATTAATGAATTTTACACATAATCACTCTAGAGGATAATGCACTATTAAATATATATGTTTTTGATATGTATATATACATATATATTTGATAATCTTTTTTCTTAAGATGACAGATTAGAGGCATTGTTAGCATACCTCTCCCACTTGGAAGGACAAAATAGTGTTTAGAAATTCACACTGTGAACTTTTTTTCAAGAAGCAACACAGAACTGAACAAGAAAGGATCTACAGACCCTTTGACGGAAGCAGGCGGCTGCAGCCTACACCGTGAGTCAGGAGAAGGGCTGCAAGTCGCCAGTGTGACGGGGAGAGACTGCATCTGGGGTACACCCCCCAACCAAGGACCCTGGGAGTCCAGGCCATGGAGGAAAACCCTAACTCCACCCAGCACAGGAACTGACTTGTAGAGGGTTGTAGAATTTAAAAATAGAAGCAACATCAGGAAGACCCTTGCAGACACTCCCAGATTCTAGTGTGGATCAAGTAAACCCATAACCATTCCTTACTGCTCCTCACAGGGGACCCTGCAGAGGACAGCCAAAAGAGTGCGGGCAGTGGTCGCAGGTTGAACGAAGT